TCCAATTTGATAAACAATTTTTTTTTGCATCTATTCTAATATATACAGGGTGTTCCATTTAAATTAAACAAGTTATTGCCGTTTAAAGCTAGAAATTATTTAAAATTAATTTTTAGACACTCTGTATAAGGTAGTATTATTGCGTCACAATAACTGATCAATAAATATACTTTAGTAAATATTAAGTATTAAAAACTTTGATATCCTGGAGAAATAAACCTTAAAATTTTTACTGCAATTTCACAAAATTGAAAATATTTCAAAAACGGTAAGGTTTAAATGTGATAAACCGTAATAAAATTTATCTTTATTTTAATCGTAGAAACTAAAAATGTAATAATATACAGGGTGTTCCATTTAAAAAAATGCAACTTTGATATTTTTTATTTATTTGGGACACTGTATCTTGTAAAAATATTTTTAAATTGTAGCTTTAATAGTCCTTCAACGAACCCAAAATTTACAATTTGTAAAAATCGAATCGTTTAGCTAAAATACTCCGTGTCGTATGTGGTGAACAACCATGTACACATAATATAATTACAATATTTTTCAAAAATGGGAATAGTTGCTTTAAAAAATCACTATACAGGGTGTTTCAAAACAAATGCGAAAAACTTCAGGGGCTGATTCCTTGTTCAAAATAAAGGGTAGTTTGCTTCATAAACGTTGGGTCAAAAGTCAATCATTAGGGAGATATCGCGGTACAAAGATGGCGGAAAAATAATTTTTATCTTGAAAACGAAAAGAGATGGACTAATGAAATTTTATGGAAGCATTACTATTATGAAAACACACTTTCTGGTAATTTTCTCACTTTTTTAAAATGAGTGGAAGGGGTTGAAATAAACTACCCCTATTATACTTGTTAACGAAATTTAAAGAAAAATCTTATCAAACGCATGCAAAAAAACTAATTTGGATAGTTTAGTTTGTTTAGAAACTTTTTTATCTCTTGTGTTTTTTTGATAAAACTCACCGATTTGAAAGTAAAAAATAAAATGTAAAGCATTACCCCATGTCAGGACAAAAAACATTTTTATTTTTTAATATGCACTTTTTTTATTATTTTGTACTTTCATGATATACAGAATTAAAAATTGTCTTGGTAAATAATTTTTAAGAGGTTATCGTTCAGAAGAAAATGTAGCGATATTACTACGAAATAAAATTGTTTGACAGCAGCCTACTAGATTCTTTATCCAAAAATGTTTTTTGTCCTGACATGTAATGCTTTACATTTTATTTTTTAATTCTAAATCGGTGAGTTTTACTAAAAAAACACAAGAGATAAAAAAGTGTCTAAACAAACTAAACTATCCAATTTTTTTTTGCATGTGTTTGATAAGATTTTTCTTTAAATTTCGTTAACAAGAATGATAAGGGTAGTTTATTTCAACCCCTTCCACTTATTTTAAAAAGGTGAAAAAATTCCCAGAAAGTGTGTTTTCATAATAGTAATGCTTCCAAAAAATTTCATTAGTCTATCTCTTTTCGTTTTCAAGATAAAAAATAAAAACATTATTTTTCCGCCATCTTTGTACCGCGATATCTCCCTAATGGTTGGCTTTTGACACAACGTTTATGAAGCAAACTACCCTTTATTTTGAACAAAGAATCAGCTCCTGAAGTTTTTCGCATTTGTTTTGAAACACCCTGTATATTTTCACAAGTGTTCTTTCTATTCAAACTGTTTTACTTGTTTATGATCAATTTTCTATATGAGTTCTAAGGGTCATACGGTATTTTTTCTATGTGTAGAGTACACTGACTGACCGACTGCTTATTTTCAGCTGGTCAAACACTAAATTCTTCTTCGTCTAACAGTCAAACCAGCTGGACGTCGGTCTCCGCAATCCAGCAAATATTTGAGATGTTTTTCATTAAAACGAAAAAGAATAATGATTCGTTCATTCCTTTGTGACATTCGAAGAATAATCGTCAATTAAAAAAGGCATGTTTGACATAACTGTAATGTCGTGAACAAGAGACTGTTGTAATTTTACAAAAAAGCGCCGCCTTAAAGACATATATCATTACTTTTATTGACTCTAAAGATTGTGTAAAAGTAATTGTTTCGGTATGTATAAAGAGGAACTTCCTTATGACGGTACTGACTTTAAAGTACCTAAATGTCTGGTTACATCAAATTAGATTTAATTGATTGGCTAGAGTGGCGGTAATAACCAGGAAAAAAAATCCCCGGAAGGCAGGATTTTTAGCTCACTTTTGAAAAAAAAAATCTTTTTTCATTAAAAGTACCATAACTTTGAAACGGTTTACGATAAACATTTTTACATCGCGGATTCTTGTACAGGGTGGGCAAAATTGGACGCTTTTAAAGGGAAACAACCTTTCTATAGGAGATAGACGAAAACTAATATCGGTGTCTGGAGCTCAATTTTTGTCAAAAACATGATGGTGAAAACCGCACATCGATACCTGTTACCGTTTTGGAGTTACGGGGTGTTTTTCAAAAATACGCTTTATTAACAAATCGCTGTAACTTTTTTGTTACGGAAAATTTACTATTTTTATGAAAACATTTCCATAGCATCTTTTTTGCAGAATTTAATGGTTTAAGTATATTTTTTTTTAAATTAATAATTTAAAAATTATCAACAGAAAATTTGATTTTTTAAATGGGTATATAACAAACCCTGTATATTTTTAACTCATTGAAAAGAATTTAAAATTACACTTACAAAAATATAGCACACTTGATATTTTGCTCGATTCCTCTTCGAGATAGCTGTAAGATAGCTCTTCGCCAGCTGCAATGCAAAAAAAATCTAGCCGGTGAGCAACAATTAAAACGAAAATAATATTTGCAATGACAAACGCAGAATTTTATAACAATTTAAAGTACATTTTACCACCATCAATACGTTTAAACTATATCTAATAATAATAAAAATAAATAGCAAACCGAGACATGAGATTTTGCTACAGGTTTTCGACATATCGACCGTCTTCTGTTATGGACAGACGGGGCCGTATTGAATATTTCTCGCGAAATTCATTAACTCAGTGGGGGTGAAAGATACCCTTGCATAACCGCTAACTACTTCTAATTATTATCTAGATTATATGGGCAATTTAAAAATAAGAACCTTTATTCTTCCTCAAAGATAATAATACAGCAAATTGATCCGTATGAAAGTTGTTCAGAATAAATGGACAAGCAACTTTCCTTCATGATTTTTTTTTGTAGCTTGATTATTTTTGGAGATAGCGTCCAGTTCATGAACAAATTAGGGTAGTTTTCAATGTTACTCTTTTTTCAGCAAATTCACCCTAGGAAACTCGTTCAAAATAAGAGGTATATGTACACCTTTGCCTTATGAACTATATTTTGACGACGATGACTTTACTTCATACGAAGCAACAAAAGAAACTAACAATAAATCTGAGGAGCCAAAGCCAGGTCCATCACACAAAAGAAGACGATACAAATAAAAAAAAAACAATATTAATTCACTTGATGAATTCCATGTTTCGTTTTTGGGGAAATAAATACATATCGCAGAGAAGTTTGCATGTAATTTTAATATGGAACACTTTTGCTTGGTGGAATTTGGTAGAACTAAACAAAAAATTATGGAAACCTACCCTAATTTGTTTATGAACTGGACGCTATCTCCAAAAATAATAAAGCTACAAAAAAATCATGAAGAAAAGTTGCTTATTATGAACAACTTTCGATGGGTCAATTTTGTTGTAAAACAAACTTTTTGAAAACCACCCAAAGAGTTCATGAAACGGCCGCTAAGTCCGGAAATAATAAAACTTATAAAAAACATTAGGCGAACTTATAGAGAATGTTCTTTTGTACAATTTGCGTCTAATTATTTTGTTGTAGTACAGTTTAAAAAAAATTTCCGATTTTCGAAAGACAGTCGCTGACAAACCAAAAATCAGCTTGGCCGTAATTTTCTTGCCTTTCACAATCTTATTGACTAAAATAAACAAAAGCTGTTTCTTTTAGTTGCTTTCGGTCAATATTTTTAATTCTCTTCCGTAAACTGTTGCTGATTGAATTGGGAGCTGTGAAAATGGCTGAAAACGAAATAAGTAAATTACCAACAGATATTCAGGCTGAGGCGACAAACGCCATATCCAAACTACTTCCATTTAAATCCCGAATAACTTATGAAAAAGGAATACAAAAATTTTCAAAAAAATGGAATTAAAAACGTGCGAAGAAATACAGTTTTTAGCCTGTCCTCGCTGTTAAAGTATCATTTAATCAACCCTTGGTGGTTAAAGTAATTATTTTATCTTACTATTTTTTACTATAGTCTGTCCAACGATCCATTGATTACTGATAGATGCGTCTGTCATTTTAATTTCAAAGCAGTTTTTTTTATTTTATTTAGAAAGAAAAGCTTGGTACAACTGGAACGCATAGCAGGATATATTTAAAATTTGATTGACAAGATGACAAGTGATTACTTCAAAATATTGTGAAAAAACTGTATAAAAACTGAAAAATGTAATCGAGTTATTTTATTTTAATAAAAACTTTTTTTTTTTTTAATACAAAACAAACAAGAACAAGACACTGCATACCAAAAAAAATATAAAAAGAACTATTATTTACTTTCAAGCTTTATGAAACTAACCGCATTTATGATTATATTTTACTAATATAACTTATGTACAACATACAAATTTGTAATATTCCACAGGAATAAATAAAACAACATAGGTAAATAAAAACAAACTATTTAATAATAATAATAATACACACACACACACACAATCCGTGGGTGTTGCTGGATCTCCTATCGGACACCTCCCTGTGCGAATTGGGAAACGCTCGCCAGATATGGCGGGTACCGGGGAAATAAAATACTCGGGGTGGACAAAAACCAGCACAACAGGACACGACGGGTTTCCATGTCAGGAACGGTACTCCAACAGCGTCTGTTCTTCATGTTAGAAGCGGCTGAATTTATGCCTGGCAGTAGGCGAAAAATGCATTTACCCATTATACTATGGAGCATAATAGAACATTGGAAACGATAGAGCCGCTGCCTGGGGATCGCCAGGGCGTGTCTGGAGCCGGCGCTGGACACGACAGCATGCGGGACGTCGGCGGCAGGGTGTTGAAGAGGCGGGCCCCTGTCGTACAATCAGCTACAGCCCAATTAAACCAGCGTGAAGTGGACGCTTTAGTTGGTAACTACCAAGACGATACCACTCTACCTGATGGCTCGCCCGCTATTAGTAGGGCTGCCCGCAGGAGAGAAAATGGAAAACGTATGAAATGGACGCGAGAATTAAATATTGATATTATGCGATCTTTCTACTACGTTAACCAATGTCAAGATCAACCACTTCCTGGATGGAGAAGCTCCCTCCATGCAGATTTTACCAGAAGACACCCAGATTTGCAAGTGTCGGAACAGAACGTCGTCGATAGGAAACGCGTTATATTGAGTAAACAGTATCTGACCGTTGATTAAACCAAAAAATATCAAAAAGGGAAGTTGGTAACATCCTTCAACAAGAACAAGAATATGGAGATAATGAAAGAAACATATTTCACCGAGACGAAGGTATTCCTGAGGAGCAGGTGGACAGAACACAACAAGAGGCAGAGAACCAGGTACCTCAAGATAATGAAAATGAAGTTGCTAAAGAAAAGTTGGCTGAAACTTTTGAAAGTTTACTGGCAATGTACATTAATACCTGCCCCTTAGAGAGGCCTGCCATACCTGTTCTTCAGAACGTTCGAAAAGCCCAAGGCATAATAGAGAGGGTTAATGCTGTACTGGAAGCCTACACTACACCGGATAAATCATTAGAATACGTTCACTTGGCTCTCTACTGTGCAGCTGTAACGGTTGTGCAGCACAATGGGCAGTCGACTTATTATCCCCGAGCAATATCCTACAATAGGCTTGACCAGATACCAGCCTGGAGAAGAAGGCTTGAGAAGACCATCGATAAACTACGAGGCAGGGCCGATCTAATTGCTGAGTTTTTAAAAGATAAACCCTCCAAAAAAGTCCACCAAAAAGTCAGGACAATTGCAGAAGGAGCCAAAATATATGAAAACCAACCCAACTATCTACAAAAGCTTATAGAACTACAAGATACATACCGCCAAAAGTATAAAGCTAAAGGAGCAAGGCTATCAAGATTCAATGCAACAGATAAAAGAAAGAAACAGAATAACGAGTTCCTAAAAAGCCAGAAACAATTTTTTAGAAAGCTAGAGAATGAGTCTGCAGTACAACAAGATACTGCTGAGGTGGACGTCAAAGCTTTTGGCAATTACTGGTCAGGAGTATGGGCCGAGTCGGAGAGATTTAACCATGATGCTGATTGGATAAGTACCATCGAAGACAAAGTTCTAAATGTGCCTAGAATGGTAGTCAATACATTTTCGAAGGAAGACATCACTGCAGCCATTAAGAAAACCCAAAATTGGAAGACGCCGGGACCGGACAGGATACAGAACTTCTGGCTCAAACGATTCCCAGCTATTCACGGTGCTTTGGCCCGATGTTTCACGCAGGCGCTTGATGATCCACACATTTTCCCAGAATTCCTGTCCAATGGAAACACCGTTTTGTTATTCAAGAAGGGCGATCCTTAAGGGACCCAAAAAATTACAGACCTATCACATGTCTGTCTGTAATTTATAAGTTATTTACGGCTGTAATAAACGAGAGACTTTATCAACATTGCCAAACACACCAAATATTTGAAGCAGAACAAAAAGGGTGTATCAGAGCAGCCTTGGGCTGCAAAGAACAATTGACTATAGATTCTATTATACTAAAACAAGTGCAAAAAAAGCAAAAGAACCTTAACATCTCATATATTGACTACAGCAAGGCCTTTGACTCGGTCCCTCATGACTGGTTACTTAGAGTTCTGGACATCTATAAAGTGTGCCCCCGAATTATAAATACGCTCGGACACCCAATGCGACAGTGGCGAACTGACCTTAAGCTGCCAAGCCGACATATCGGTACAGTACGAATCAAAAGGGGCATTTTCCACGGGGATTCACTTTCACCACTCTGGTTCTGTCTGGCAATGAACCCTATGTCAACACTGCTTAACCACACAACCGCCGGTTACAAGATCGACCAAGGAAACGGAAAGAGACTGAACCATCTATTGTACATGGACGACCTGAAGCTGTATGGGGAAACACCGAGTAAACTCAACTATTTAATAGAAACTGTTCAAGTCTTCAGCATGGACATACGTATGTCCTTTGGTTTTGACAAATGTGCTACTGTCAACATCAAAAGGGGTAAAATTGAAGATCGGCAACAAGTCATATGTAACATTAAGCAGCTTGCGCCAAAAGATACTTACCGATACCTGGGACTAGCCCAAAATTCAACAATTGATCACACAACAATTAAAAGGGAGATTCGTGAGAAATATAACACCAGGCTAATGAAGCTCTTAAATACAAAATTATCTGGATATAACCTGATCAAAGCTATAAACGCTTGGGCAATACCGGTGTTAACTTATTCCTTTGGAGTGGTCAAATGGTCAAATACCGACCTTGAAGATCTCGATCGCCTTACCCGTAGACAATTAACAAAATTTAGAAATCTGCATACAAACTCATCTGTATGTAGGCTGTATGTTCCTCGTAGGATGGGTGGGAGAGGCCTGCTAAACATAAAAGATCTATGCCTAAAGCAGGAAAATGGCATGAGGCAGCGATTTATGTCCTCCAGCTGTGCAATAATGAGGCTAATCGTGGCTCAGGATAAAGGTTACACTCCTCTCAATTTAAGTTGCCGTAACCGGATTGACAAACCCATCTCGATAGAGGAGCGTGTTGCAGGATGGAAAAACGGCGCTCTGCATGGCAGGTATCCAAAGTCGCTCCAGTCTGAGGGGGTCGACCTACATTCGTCATTGGCCTGGCTTAAAGACGGAAAATTGTTTCCTGAGACCGAGGGTTTCATGATGGCCATCCAGGACGGAGTTATGAGGACCAGAAACTATGAAAAGAACATTTTAAAACAAGACGTAGTTGATGTATGTAGAAAATGCTCTATGAGAGGGGAGACAATAGAACATATCACGTCTGGTTGCTCTACCTTAGCAGATAATGCGTATCTTGGACGTCATAATCAACTTGCCAAAATTATTCATCAACAACTTGCCATAAAATCAGAACTCTTGAGCAAAACATCACCTCCCTACTACAAGTACTCCCCGCAACCCGTCCTGGAATCTAGGGATACTGTTTTATATTGGGATAGACCAATTATAACCGATCGGACAGTGGACCACAATAGACCCGACATTCTTTTTATCGATAAGATCAATAAAACGGGCGTTATAATTGACATAGCAGTACCATTATCCCGCAGGATAAAACAGACAGAAACAGATAAAATAACAAAGTACGAAAATTTATCATATGACTTAAAAAACGTGTGGAATCTTAAGACCGTAAAGATCTTACCGTTCGTAATTTCGGTGGAGGGAATTATTAGCACAGAATTCCAAAAAAATCTAAAAGAGATTAATTTACCATGCTCAATTGCAAAAGTAGGACAACGAGCTGTATTGTTGCAGACTTGTCACATCGTCCGAAAATTCTTGAACTAGCTGGGAGGAGCCAAAAGCTTTTTCAGTTAGTCAGCTAAACCGCACCGGACCTGTTCCGAGAAAAAGAATTGGGAATGTATTAATAATATTTATTTATTTCCAAATTATGTTACAAAAAAAAAAAACATAAAGAGAAATATCGTCAAACATCAAAATAAATATTCCAAAGCATATTACACATATTTTACAAAGATTAGATAAGTCTACTTACATAAACGGGAAAATATATAGAAAAATAAACCTAAAATTTACAATATTGGATATAATTCAACAATATTTCCTTAATCCTAATTAACCATTGAAATTAAAAAATTCTGGCAAGCTATAAGGCTCTATTTAATAAATAATTTTTTAACTTAAATTCTCTTAAATTCGCTTAACTTTCCACAGAGTCTAAGTGTTAAGGGCAGTTCATTATAAAACTTTAAACACATATACAAAGGGTTTTTTTCCGTAATCGCAAGTTTATGAGCGGGATAGTTCTTTCTAGTATTGTACTGATGTATTATGTTACTCTCAAAACATTCTCTATTCATGTAAAAAATATACTAAACATTCATAAATATATAATGCATATACTGTCATAATTTTTTCACTCTTAAAGATCCCTCTACACGATTCGTTGAAATTAATTTTTCTTACAGTGTATTACCCTTTTTGTGTTACAAACAGTCGTTGTATTTTGCTGTTGCTGCCCCAAAATATTATCCCATAGCTCATGACGGACTGAAAATTGGAATAATACAGTGTTTTTAGTGTTCTCTCATCCATATATTTGCTTATTACCCTAATTGCATAGCACACTGAACCCAGCTTTTTCAAAAGATATTCTATATGATTACTCCAATCTAAATGCTCATCAATTATTATTCCTAAAAATTTCGTGTGGTCAGGATATTAACATATTTTTAGTCGAACTACATATAAGTGGTCTATTTGTTCGTGACAATTTTGTTCGAAAAATGATGACATTTGTTTTATCGGAATTCAGAATAAATTATTTTCATTGAACCATCTAGACACATTATCTAATAAAAATTTTGCTCTAAATAATCTGGTAGGTGTTTTTTCCAATTAACAGATTGGTATCATCAGCATAATTAATTATGTTTTGGTTTTGTCCATTTACTGCCAGATTTAAGTCATTTAGGAATAATAAAAACAAAAACTGGACCCAATATACTACCCTGAGCTATACCGATGTTATTTGTGCGTATCTGGGATTTATATATTTTACCTTCATTGGTAATAGAAACTTGTTGTTTTCTGTTATTAAGATATGACTGTAGCCACTCGAGAGACTTCCCTCTAAATCCGTATCGTTCCAATTTTCTTAAGAGCAATTCTCGGTCAAGACAGTCGTGGGCTTTAGAGAGACCCAAAAACATCCCTAGTGCCAATTCCCCACCTCCATGTGTTCCAAAACTCTCTGAACAAATTCAAAAATTGCTGTTTGAGTAGATTTCCCTTTTAAATACCCGTGTTGGTTTTGGCGTATCAAGTTACATTCTTTAATAAAAAACATCATTCTACTTAACATTGCTAACTCCAAAGAGCTTTGAAAACCCGGAAGAAGACTAATTGGCCTGTAATTATCTATTAACTTGGGATCGCCTTTTTTATGTATAGGTTTTATTAGTGCGGTTTTTAGCTCTTGTGGAAATATGCCTGACTTAAAGGAGCTGTTTATTAAATAACACAATACATCTTGACAAGTACCAGTTGACAATTTGATCAAGCTTGTAGAAATTTCATCATTACCACTACTATGTTTATTTTTTATTTTTGCATTTATATCAATTAATTCTTGAGGCGTTATTGGTCTTAAAAAACATTGATTTGCCATTAATTTCAGTGTTAATGCTATAGCCGCTTGGTAAATTTTGTAATAGATTGGGAACAATTGATAATAAATGCTCATTAAATGTTTCAACCATTTGTTGTCCATTTTGATTAAGATTATTTGGAGATGCATCTTTATTATTACCAATTATTTCCTTACATATGCTCCACATACACTTCACTTTATTATCTGATTTTTCAACTCTGCCCTGATATGACATAGCTCTACATTGCTTTAATAATATGTCATATTGTTTTTTATATTTTTATATAATTGTAATAATGGTAATGTTTCGAGAGTGGTAGTAAATATCCATTTTTTTTCTATGTTCTAGAATTAGTGGATTACTCATATAAATGTTTTTTGTTCTTTATTGATACTAGCTTTAAAGGAAAATGTTGGTTAAAAATTCTGTGAATATATTTTATGAAAAGTACACCACTGTTTATCAGTATCGTTATCTTGAACTTCATATACACTGGCCCAGTTTTGTTCGCTCAAGGATTCCAAAACAATTTTTTTATTAAAAAAAAAAAAAAAAAAAAAATAATTACTATTTTTAATTATTGGTATTATTTTAAACACAATTTTGGGGCTGTGTGATCAGATATGTGTGATTCAAAAACACATGTTTTTATATCTATATTTGTAAATATATTATCTATGCAGCTAGAGCTATGTTCAGTTATTCGTGTGTTTTCTTTTATTGTATTTACAAAATTAAAACTATACATAAGAGACATTAGTTCACTTTTTATTTATTGTCTTTTAATAATTCAATGTTGAAATCACCTGTTATAAGAGCAGTCATATTTTTAGACAGAATATATGTTAAAACATGTTCCATTTTACTAAAAACTAACTATGTTACCTGATGGTGGTCTGTAAATCACTATCACTACTATGTTCATCCCCCGAAATTGACACTGAATAGGGGCACATTCAAATGTTCCCGTCTCTGACAATTTGTTAAACTCTTCGATCACATGCGTTTTGACTGTCTCCTCGACATATATTGCTACTCCTCCGTGTTGTCCAGCTTCTCGGCAGTACTGATTTTGAAGTCGAAAAATTATTAATTTTGATTTCTCCAACTGTTCCATCGATTTCCAGTGTTCACAAAAACACAATATTTTTGCACCCGGATTGTTTTGCAGCATGTAATTTATTTTATCCACGGAGTTTCCAATAGACTGTATGTTTTGATGTATAATACTGATGTCCTCAACTTTATTATCAACTATATTAGGGCTTAATATATTTTATTAACTGTTTTGTATATCTTGCTGTAAAAAATGGTCGTATGTTGTATGATTTATAGTTTTCTTTACTTGAAGTAGAAATGCTGGACATTTTTGATCCCTGGCACTATGTTTACGATCAACTAGCCTAAGTCTTTTACAATTAGGACAATCTAAATTGGTTTCTTCCGAGCAATCCTTCGGGTGATGACTTCCTCCACATTTGTGACAACATTCTGGTGATTTGCAGTACTTAGAAACATGCCCAAAATTGCAACATTTAAAACATATTGCTACATTAAAATATTCCGTGACATATGCTTTCATCAAATCAAAACTTAAATTATTCCCTTTCATGATCCATTTAAAAAGCGTCGGTGGTACTTGAAGAACCCAGTTTTCTTTATGGATGTCTCTGCATGGTTTTTAGTAATATATTTATCTTGTGTCTTTATGTCATTTCCAAAATTATCCTTGATGTCAGAGTTTTGTTCAATTAATTCATTAATAAATTGGTCAGAAGTATAACCTTTATCTATGCCAGTAACCATTATCATTGGAAACGTATTTTCTTTTTTCCTTGAGTTGGAAATTACTGTTCGTACTGAGACTATCTTTAATTTTTCGTTGCTGATCAACATTATGAAATTGCATGACTACTCCGCCACTCTCCAGTTGTTTTACTCGTTTAACTGTTTCTCTTATTTGGTTTGCCTTTAAATTTTGTTTAATTTCTTGCACTACTGGGTTTAGGGATTTTTTTTCTTTTTCAATTTTAATTAACAATTCATATTTTTCTTCTTTAGTAGGTGTTTTCCATTTAGGATTCATTTGTGTCTCCTCACTGTTGCTTGTATTATTATTCTGCTTTGATTATTCAGTTATATGTCCTGCTGAGTCTTACTCTTTACTTCATTGCTAATAGTTTGATTACTTTCTAATGGATTTCCTTTCAATTTTTCAACAGTTTGTTTCAAACTTGCATTTTCTTTCTCAAGTTGCCCCACATTATATGATAACATGGTAACTAATCTATGTACGTTAAACAGCGCATTTTCGGATTATATTTGTTTCATTTTTCTGTACAAACGCTCACTTCTAAATAGTTGTGTATCACTCCCAAATAATCTAGTAGTCCTTCTAACGCATTGTTGTGTTATTTTTAGAATTTTGTTCAGTTTCTGTAGAGTCGTTATATTTGTTTGTATTTTGTAAATTGTTTTTCGGAATTTTTTTCCGTATCTTGTTCTGTTCCAAATTACCTGGGCTGGAATCAGACCTAGTTCTTTTCCTACTCTGTTGCTCAGTATCCTGTGATATATCAACACTCGAAATGGAACATGTGGGTGATCTCATTATAGAATGCCGTGGTTTAAAAATATTATTGGTCCCCTCATTTTCTTTTGTTTCCAGAAACACTTCGGTGTCTTTTTCAGTATTCCTCTGTATATCGACATCACTTAATTTCTTTTGTGCTCGGGTTTTAACGCTATCAGCCTTGCCTTTTTTTGTAAGATCTTGAACGCTTTTCCTATCACTGTTAATCGATGTTGTTCTCTGTTTTTGCAATGGAATATTAGGTTTATCGGATTCATGCGAACTGTTTTTACCGCTGCTACTTGCACTCATCTTATTGATAATTTCTATCAAAATTTAACGCAAACTATTACAAAATTACTATGTAAATTAAATAGAAATCACGAGAGCTTCACTAAACACGTCCGCACAGTCTGGTATCTATAGAACTACTTCTCTTAATAACATTTAACTAATTAAATTACACTTAACTAATTCTCTCTAATAATAACACATACCAAATTTTATACCTTACAGGTTGATTAATTAACTTTAATCTTAATTTTTTTAAACCAGTACATTTTGACATTATTTTTCTGCAGTACTAAAATCCATTATTT